AATAACAGAAAAACATCAGCATAAATGGGAGGAACCTGGAAGAAGCAACCTCCTCTACCTACCTACCGACCTTGGAAGCATAGTTTCAACCACAGGTTGAACTGACGAGGATATCAAAGCAAGGATCACGAAAACAAAACAAGCTTTCATTACTCTCAAGTCTGTGTGGAGGTCAACAGCACTCACCACCAAAAATAAGATCCGGATTTTCAACTCCAATGTAAAGTCAGTCAGTGCTATTATACGGATCAGAGACTTGGCGCGTCATAAAAAGCACTGCAAACAAACTACAGACCTTCATCAACCACTGTCTTCGCTCAATACTACTCAAGATCAGATGGCCAGCCAGAAAAGATCAGCAACAGGGATCTCTGGGAGAGAACCAACACAACAGGAACCGATTGTGAAACAAACACGCAGGAAGAAGTGGAGATCGATTGGCCATACTCTGAGGAAACCATCAAGTTACATCACTATACAAGCCATAGCTCGAGTGGAACCCGAAAGGGAAGCGGCGAGTTCATCGTCAGCGCAAGGGTGACAAGGAGGAGGTCATGTGAAGAGGAGATGAAAGCATGTGGACAGACTTGGAGCGGGGTGAAAAAGTTGGCAGAAAACTGAAGGCCACGGGGATGCGCAGCTGAAGCCTTATGTTCCTCTAGGAATTAAAGGAAATAATAATAATTAGGTCCGAATAGTTATAATCAGAGATTGACATTAGTTAGAGAACTACTAAAAACCAGAGAGTCCTGGACAGTTGTTTCATCCTAGTTTGGAACTCTTCAGAAATAGGCCAAAAACAATGGCCGGCGGTGGAGTTATACATCACAAATCAGCACAATTTAGAATTCATGTTCTAGTCAGTGGATTCCATCAGAGTGTCTGGATGGTTAACGGGCTTGTCACCTAACGTGAAAGTTCTGTTTTTGGTGCCTAATGGTAGGTTCATCGGTGCCTATTATTCTGAAAAGTCCCAGACTGATGGGATGAAACAATTGTCAATACTCTTGTAATATTTTATGGTCTTTTAACTGTTTTCAGTCTGTAATCACACTTGAAACCAATCATATCCCTGTAAAACTAACACTTGAAAAATTGACACTTCTCAGCCTTATGGTCGGATGGTAATGCATTTAAGAAATCATATTCTGTAAGAAAATTTAAACAGACGTGTGAATACATAAAATAATAACAGTAGTGTGAAATGCAATTAAAATATTTGTCATTATAATCATAGTTAAATGTCAAGTGTCAGGTGGCAAAACAAATTATGTCATATGCAGAAGAATTCATAGGATGTTTAGAACTTGGAAGGGGTGTGAAATTATAGGATTACTGGGTGAATTGAAGAAAAATAAAAACGTCACGTGACACTTTGTGAAGCTGGATATATCGATTGTTCGATTCGAGTTTTGTCCAAGATGGTACAAGAACACTATCCGGCATAGTTATGTAGAGGTGGAAGTGGAGCAATAAGAAACGTGATTGAAACGATTGAACATGTGGTCGATAATGATCACTCTATCTCTACAGTCTAAGCCTCTAATGTTATCTGCAAGGCGCAGATCAATTTACCGAAATCATTACGTACCCGACTCATCTGTATTGCTGAAGCTATGGCCATCGAAACAGAAAAACCAGATCTCCGGATACAGAAGAAGATCGTTCAACTCCTCCAACTTTCATGGTCTTCATCCCTCTATGCTAAATTATGGTAATCCCTAATCATACTTTGAGTCTACCCACTTTTCGTTTTATCCTTTCATCAATTTGAATACTCTTTCTTTATTACACCAGTCGTCATTATTATTATTTTCACTATGAATTATTCCCCGTATTATATCACTTGTCTCACTTAATCGATTTCGTTTTGCAACGTTTAATTCTGTAGTATCAAATTTCACACTATGTCATGTAACATTTTATTTCATTTGCCTACTAATACTACAATTTTACACACACACACACCCCTCCAACACCTATGCATCCTATGAATAGTTCTGCATATGACATTAAATGTTTTGCCACCTGACATGTGGTATTTGACTATGATTATAATTACATATGTTCTAATTGCATTTCACACTATTGGTATTTTATGTTTTCACACCTCTGATTCGATTCCCTCACCGGATATAATTTCTTAAAAACCCCTTACACACATACGATTGTACAAGTAATACTTTTCTCACTAGGTCCGTACGTCAGTTTATGTATGTGTCTTTGATTGGACAATAGTAACTAGTTTTCTATAGTTTGGTTTGTAAGGGTTTGTTATGTTTTTACGAGTTGATCACGGATTGATATCACGTGAGTGGATGGATGTCCCACCTACGACAATGGTTGGGGTCGCGCTAAATCACGAATTGGTAGAAGTTAGAATTCACGAGCCATTGAATCGGGTCCCAGTGGCTGAATGGTATACGAGCTTGCCTTGTAACCGGAAGGTCCTGGGTTCGAAACCCAGTGGGTGCGTACTGCCGATGATTCTCAAACTAGGATGAAACAGCAGCTGTCCAGTACTCCCTGGTTTTCAATGGTTCTCTAACTGATATCAATCCGTGATCAACTCGTAAAAATAGTAACTAGTGTGATGTGTGTCTAGTCCTCTGTTTGGTGCAGACTGAATTCTATCAAGTCAGGTTTGCAATGTGGCCACCATTCAGTCCGTACCAAACAAATGACTAGACACATCACACTAGTTATTGACTAGTGTCCAATCAAAGTATCAAACACAGTTCTGCATGAGATCAATCGAGAGCCCGAATAGTTCAGTGGTAACGTCTCTGACGGTAGGCAGCATTGGGTGACGCGGTTGCGAATCTCAGAAGGGACATGAGTTCCTTCAAGGCTGCAGACACGCCTGTCTTGCTGACATTGGTAAGTACCAAGTAGGACAAAACCTAGATCCAGGCAAGGCTTCCTGCCTATTACCTCCAACCACCTTATATTTATATGTCTGACTGCATGTATATTATTATTGAATCAATGAAGCGATTATCTTGAGTGACATTTTCCTACTCTGGTGTTCCAATAAAGCAAAGATATATTGATAAGGAGGATAAAATGAGTTCATTGCATTTCTTTGTTAGTTCTTGTCACCAGCGTACAACCATGAACACTTTGATATCACTATACAAAATATTCAACAAATACTGCTGTTATCCATCATAAAAGTCAGGAAGATGGATATCACGTGGTTAAGCTTCATAATGGAAGGGAATAAAAGTTGTCGTTAAAGACATTAGTATGGAAAGGAAACTACATCACAAGGTGAAATGATTGGATAAAGTTTCCCAATGACATATACGACTATTCACAGGATTCATCATGTGCTGACATCAGCTAGGGAACCATTTGAAAACCTGGTGCCAGAGGTCTACGAGCTCACCTCGTAGCCTGAATGTCATGGTTTCGAAACCCGATGGGTGTGTACTGATGAAGAGTCCAAAGCTAGTCGCGCGAAACAGTTGTCCGGTACTCCCGTTGGGTATCCAACGGTTCTCTAACTGATATCATCTCATGACCAATTATGTAACCAATCAAATCCTTGCAAGCCGATACTTGATATTATTATTTATTGATAACGACGTCTCGAGTACAATTCATTGCTCGTAATCAGCATATCGAAGAACCCATAAACCTTTTCAACTTTTTTGAAATACACGAGTCACAAAGTAGTTAGAGACATGTACAAATAAATAGAAGTCAGCTTGAAGTTCAATAGACAGGCATAAAATAGATCATAGGAAGATAAAGTCTCAATCAAGAGTACTAAAACAGGAAATTTAGAAACAGAATTATACAAAAAATCAACACACACACAGATCAAATACTCAACTATAGTAGCAATAACTCAATCACTCACAAAAGAAACTGTATGCAGACATTGTTTAAAAGACACCAAACACACAGTAGCACTCCTGCGTTAAAGAGAATTGGAGAAAAATATTTAATAAATGTCTTCAGGAAGAATGGATGTCCTCCTCAAAATTTCATCAAAAAGTGTTTAAAATCGAATCACAACACCAACAAGAAACCATCATCAAAGACTACAAAAAAATTCATCCTACCATATATAAACAAAAATATCTCCGAAATAACAGCTGTAATATATAAAACTGTTTAAAACAGATATAGCACACAAGCCAGTTCAATCAATCCATTCGATATTGTACAAACTGAAAGATCCAACAGAAAAAGAAGATAAAATCAATACCATTTACAAAATAAACTGTAGGAACTGCGATGAACATTACATCGGTCAAGGTGGACATCCACTTTGAATCCGAATCCAAGAACAGGAATTGGCTGTAAAAAGACATGACATATATTCTTTCGTATTAATGTATGTGGATAATTATAGACACTAAATTGATGATTGGAATAATGTAGAGATTTTAAGTAGAGGAAACACCAAATGTAATGCCAGGGAATTCCTAGAAGGCTGGTATTTAAGCGAATCAGCCAGAAATTAACAAACATATTAATATAGACCAAATTTACCAGCTAGTAAAAAGTAAATCGTCTGACCAGAAAGTTCCAATTCCAATTCAATAGAAATGATCAATAGAGATGTGAATTAACAACGATTCACGACAGTAGTTGCCAGGATATACCGCTGCATCATTCATGGAGAATTCAAATAATTAGAGCTTCTCTTTCCGATTTCATCCAGTTTGATTTTGCCTTCTTTTGATTTTTCAGTGTTAATGCACATTGTGCTCAAACCTCTTCTACTGTCTTCTTATCTATTGAACTAAGTGCTACTTCTATGTTAGGAATTATATCCTCTGGGTTAATTTACTGTTACATTGAAATTAAGTCCTTTCTCAAGGACTTTTATCTCACTGACGCTTAGTCCCCTTGATGAAAGGTTGATCACCCATTTTTTTGCTGTCAATAGAGGATGAAAAGTTGACGCCAATTTAATTTATTGTGTTCTTTTCTTCCACTAGTTGGTTGAATTTTTTGATTTGTCTGATTTTTGACTTTTTTAATACTGATTCTCCGGCTTTTTCGAATGTTTCAACAACAATTACATAATCTTTGTCATTGACCATATATTTGAGTTTGTGTTTGAGTCTGAAACTAAATAATTCAAATAAGTTCATTTTATAGTAAACCCTGAGCTGAAAATATTGCCTAGAAGAGAAGGGGGAGACAAGCGAAAGCTAAGCCATTAAACCAACCAACTCCTCAGAGAGCACAACTAAAACAAAAGACAAAGTGTACTCAAAAATAATATCCGTCATGAACAAAAAATATAAAGAGCTGAGGAATAAGACTCATTCTGTCAGTCAATAAAAAGAGTATCTCATCAGTTTGTTACTCATGTATATGAACGAATTTGGAAAGTTGTGTGAGTACCTTGATGTGATGATTGTGAGCAGCAATAGGCTGTGCTCGAACCGTCATCATCTGAGCGAATTCACTCACAACTTGACTTCCTTAAAGCCATACTCGCAGAAAATGGTTACCCGAATTGATTTACTGACAGTAACACTAACGATAAGCAGTCTAAACTGATCACTGACTCAAATCCAAAGAAAACCTTATTCATGAACTTGGAATTCAAAGGTGATCGGGCCTCAAATAAGCTTACACACTGTCTCTCTAAAGCAGTCAGTAAGACGTTCTTTGCAGCAAAATTACAAATGATGTTCACCAACAGGAAGTTTCTCCCCGTCTTTGTAAAAGATAAGCTAACCCCTCTCGCTGCCTCCATGTGCATCTACCAGTTCACCTACTCTTAAGGAGCAAGGTACATTGACCGTAGTCAGAGAACGTTTTCCACTAGGATATGAGAACATATTACAGCTGCATGGTTTTACAAGGAGGAAAGGAAGTGTGTGCAAAGCTCTATTCTAGAACATCTGATCGACTCCTGTCACTCCACACCAACCCTGACCATGATTTTAATATAATCTTCCGAATCCGTGCTAACTTGACACGTTTTCTTCGTTATAGACTTCTAAAGATAGCGGAGTCCTTAGCAAATCAAGAATTTAACCCAGAATTTTGTGTACTAAACAAGTATGTACAATCACCACTACTGCCTTGACCGTAGAGGGATAGACATTTATTGATTTCGTTTATTTAGTTATTCTATGTACCCTCCCCTCATTACTATTATTATTATTATCATTATTATTCTCAATCTGAATTGTTTCCGCTTGTCGCACTTGTCATTCTTAATCCAAAGTTATTCTTATTTTTCAAAATATTGAATTATATCTCATCAAATTTCAGACCACATTATGTAACATTTTTTATTAGCCTACTAAACCTACAATTATGCATCCCTTTCCAACATCCATACACCTTATGTATTATTCTACATATGACATTTATTGTTTTGTCACTTAACATTTACCTATGATTATAATCACAGATATTTTAATTGCGATAAAGCAATACGAAGACGTAATTTGTCTAAATTGTGTACTGTATTCGCGCAACACATTTCAAACAATCTCATCACACACACGAACTTGTCACAGGAATATGTATATGTGGAATTAATAAAGAGTTAAGAGGTGAGAAAATAGACAAGTTAGGTCAAGTTGAAAGGACATAGTGAAGGTCGAAATAACAATGAAGACCACTAAAACAAGTAACAGACGTAATAGTACATCTACCCTGGCTGGTATCAAAACAAAATTTACCAAGGTGGGTAGGTTTACTGTGATGACGAATTGTCGCTTTCAATGCATAAAGGTGGTTTGAACTTTCTAATTGCCAGTTAGTACTTCCACAAAATTTAGGGTACGCTGTTTCCCAAACGCGTTTCATAGATAGGTTTAAAAGACGTGTTAACGTCAATTTTTTGCCAGAGCATATTCCTAAATGGCTCCATAAACAAATGGAATCTTCAGAACCCATTAATGGTGCGAACAGGAGACGTAGCTCCTCTATTGAGAAAAATATTATATGGACTTGAAAAAAAAATTGACGTTTCCACGCATCTTTTAAACCTATCTATGAAACGTGTTTGAGAAACAGCGTACCCTAAATTTTGTGGAAGTACTAACTGGCAATTAGAAAGTTCAAACCATCTTTATGCATTGAAAGCGACAATTAGCATCACACTAAACCTTCTTTGGTAAATTTTGTTTTGATACCAGCCAGGGTAGATGTACTATTACGTCTATTATTTGGTTTAGTGATCTTCATTGTCATTTTGACCTTCAATATGTCCTTTCAACTTGACCTAATTTGTCTATTTTCTCACCTCTTAACTCTTTATTAATTCCACATATACATATTCCTGTGACAAGTTCGTGTGTGTGATGAGATTGTTTGAAATGTGTTGCGCGAATACAGTAGACGATTTAGACAAATTACGCCTTCGTATTGCTTTATCTAAATTCATTAAGGAAACTAATTGTTTTAAATATTTTAATTGCATTTAATACTGCTATTGTTATTTCATGATCCAATTCCCTTACCGGATATAATTTCTTATAACAAACCCACATATATACGATTATACAGCTTGATATAAAGTTCGTCGAAAAGTCGCTTCACTAAATATTGTATTCTTACTTCTACAATGGGAATTATGAAGTACTATATGTCACTGTGAAACTTTATACAATAAATTTACTCTACAATGTTCAAGTTCAATTCTTCAGCCACTAATAACCTCCATGATGTCTACTCTCATGAATTCCAACACCTATCACTTCGTGATTTCAGCGCAGCCACCAGTTAATATCATCGGAAAGGATTTATCCATATGCCCCACCGACTGGAACCCACAAGTCACAACGTCTCTTTAAAACTCCGGTCAACTTCGTTCTCTATTCAGTCACTGGCGAATATAGCCTTCTTTTTACAAGAGTTCTCTTTTAGGGATTTAGATCGTTTCAAATTTGATCACGAACTGATGTGACTTACTGATTTTTTAACTAATATGACTCCGTGATCACACTTGAAACCAGTCAAATCATTATAGACTCTTTGATCGGAAATAGCTATCCCGAAAAATCTATCAAGAAACACATGACAAAGAAAGCGGAAGAAACGGACTACTCACTATTCGTAAACAAGAAGCCTCTTTATATACAACTACAATTCAAGGGCGATATACCAAGTCAGATAATTACGAAGAAATTAAGAAAATCAGTTCAAAGAACTTTTAATGCTGGCGAACTGCACGTCTTATTCTCTACACAACCGATGGTGCTACTTCGACTGAAAGATGAAGTACCTAGACTAGCCACTTCCAGCTGTATCTACCAATTCAACTGCGCTTGTGGAAAGAGTTCTATTTTTTTGATTACAGCTTGATTCCACACTGTAGTTTTGGTACAAGTATGGAATTTTCAGCATGGATATCGGTAGCCCGAAATTCGCAGGCCGACCATAGATATCAGGTGTGCGTCGGCGTGAGCTCGAACCCCGGACCATGTGCATGATTGGCGAGAGTCCTAACCACTGTGCCACCGACGCATTGCTCTAGAAACTTCATTTTTCGTGCTCGAGAACATTTTCCAGTATGGCTAAGTAAAGGTGTAGTGAATACCACTGACAGTTCGATATTGAACCATCTGGTGCGAACCGGCCACAAAGCCAGCATTGAAGAATCCTTCTCTGTCATCTACCGGGTGACTAATAAATTGCCAAAATCATAAAAACACCGCATGCTCCAAACAGCGGACGCTATTGCAATTCGCCTCAAACAACTAGTGCTCTGTGTGCAAAAGAAGCAAGTCCAGCCCCTCCTATTGCCTTGGCCGGCCTTCAGTAGAAACTATAAATTCATGAATTTGTATTATTATCTTTCCTAATTTTTCTGACATTCAGTGTATTGTTATGTTAATGCTACTGAATTGTAATCAATTGATATTATTGATTCAATGTTATTTAAACGACATTAATGTTGTTCACAACAATAACTCATTCATTCATTATAATGTATATATAACTGTACAGCCTGATGAAGAGCAGGTTGTCAAAAAGAATATTCTTTGTTCAGTATCCATTCTTTTGAAAATTTTACTGGAACTGTTCATTTACCCCTTGATATACTCAACAATACATCAGAATCCACCTACATAAAACCACCAATGCTCACTACGTCTTAAGTTATCCACTTACAATTCATTAGATAAGAAATATATACTGCACATATCTAGAATATGCAACACAATACATACTACTAACTATCATAAGTGGTCAGAGATTATTCATACCAATGAGTTACATAAAAATGATTGGTGTGAAAGAGATTATGAACTATGATCTCAATGAGCACTGTAATCATAAAGTGAATAATCTGACTTCTAATAGAAAACCTTATTTATATGAAGAGAATTATTTCATTCCTAAGTGATACACTAAATATTTAATTTGATTTTAGATTTTCCGGTCGATTGATTGGAGCGAAGTGCTCGGTCTCAGGTTGATATGTCGGCTTCTTGGGCAGATGCTTCAACAATATCTGGACATGTAATTAGTGGACAGTCCTGTGGCGTTTAAAACTATGGGCATTGGGTTACAGCCTCGGTGGGAACATGATCACTCACTGAGGAATGCAAGTACATCTAGTTGACGAGTCCCATCATCCACCAATTAACTTGTAGATACACTGGATAGATTTGAGGTTTTGTAAGGATTTTCGTCATTTCCAATGAGATGTTATCACGAACAGCTGAATTCTGATCCAAGTGACTGAATGGCCAACAGACTGATCGCGAGACTTGACGAAAGGAGTATACACCGACGAGGAGTTTCCAACTGGGACGAAATAACTGTCTAGTTTTCCTTCGTATACACCAAACAGTTTTAAAAAGAATATTGATTGCAGTTTTTCAAAAAAAAACAGTATAACTCGAACAGGTAGTGAGTAGTGAGTAGTAATCATGGAGTCTATTTCGATTCCTGCTTACAAAGAGAATTTATTTGATGTTGCGGGGAATAAGAGACAATGAAATGATATTCATTGCCTATTGATATTATTGCGTGGAAAATACCCATGTTAGCCAACACAGCCTGGTTAACACATCGAACTAATTTTCGCTCGTTTGTGACAAAGGTCAACGGCGATTCAACTCATTTAACTCATCTCAAGCAGATCGCATATTAAGATTTGAAATTTTTGACTCCTTAAGAGAACTCTGGTGAATATGGATTTTGGCGGCCTTCTCAGGACCTGAGCTACCAAAAACCTCCATCAGTATATTACATATAATTTCCTACATACACTTTGTTTAAATCTAGGAGAATATGTTCTCTAGCTTCTTGACACATATAAACTCACTAGTAAAGGGGATAAAATTAACATCTCAATTGGAAAATGAACAAGGAGAATTAGCAACGTTAGATTTTAAAATAAAACCAATAGAAAAAGGAGAACTGCACACTAGCGTTCATAAAAAAAATCAACGCAGATATCTAACAAATATTTAGACTTGAACAAAGCAAAAACAACAATTGTACCAGGATAATATGAGCTCATCTTTTATTATTATTTCGAGGATTCTTCTCAACTGGTTACAACTTGAATGATAAAAAATATGAATTACATTAAAGATATGAACATACTTTTCCACAATCATAAGGGGTAATTGGTAGGAACTAAAAGTGACATTAGTCCGGAATGATTTAATTGATTGGGAGTTACAAACACTGACTATTCATAGAATAATTCGACAATTAGGCTTGGAAACAAAAAACAGGGTTGTGTATATATATGTGTGTGTATAGAAACAAGGTTTAGCTAAAAAGAGCATAACAAAAAAGTAGATTACGTAACTAAATAAAATGTTTCATCTAATAGCTAACAGAAAAAAAGGAAAGAACAAGGTAGGGTGAGTCATTTTTAGATGAGAGAGTAGAGTTTTCTAAACACGAAAAAGGATGACTCATGAAATTTGTGTATTTTTTTTTATCACCAGGGCAGTGCAAGATTCACCACTGTCTCTTTTTGCGAACATAGATTTGGTTTAAGTCGTTTGATGACAATTGCTTCAGCAAAGCGTAGCAAGCTAGGTTATTATTATTATTATTATTATTCTTTTGCTTGTTGATTATTTTAAACGACTTCAGGTTGTCTACAATATGACCAGTGTCCAATAGATGATGCGCAATCGCACTGTTTAATGCTTGGGGACCTTTCAGTCTCAAGTTCCTTGGTATGTGTTCATAAATGCGAACACTAACCCTTCTCTCTATTCTTCCAATGTATGTGCTTTGGCACGTACATGTAAATTGGTAGACACAGATGGAGGTAACATGAGGTGGGTATTTGTCCACTTTTGATTGTCTCAAACAACTAGTTGTTTGATAAACACACACAAGCTTCGCGGCTGGATATGCTGTTTTCAGGGCAGCGTTCAGTCTGCATCTTATTCTACTAGCGGTATCATCACCTTTGAATGCAAGCTGCAGATTGATAGGCTTTTTATCTACTGTGCTGCTTTTCACTTTTTCAACATGACGTCTCCCATACTTGTCGATGAACTTTTGTGGGTGACCGTTGTCGCGTAGGCATTTCTCCACAATGGATAGCTCTTCCTCAATCTTTTCTTCTGAACACAGTTTCCTCACACGATCAAATAATGTTCTCACCAATCCTTTTTTTGTAACTTATAGGGCAGAAGCTTTTGAAATTAAGATAACTCATCTCATCCATCATCTGTGAAGGCAGGCTTCGTTAAGTGTCTAACAAACTGAGCAATAGCTCTAAGTAGTACAACAAAAAACCTAAATGATGAAATGAAACGGATAGAGAAATAGCTGGTTGGTTCCAAATAATTATCCCGTAAAATTAACTGCGAGTTGTGTGTCGGTGGCACAGTGGTTAGGACTCTCGCCAATCATGCACATGGTCCGGGGTTCGAGTGCGCACCGACGCACACCTGATATCTGTGGTCGGCCTGCAAAATTTGGGCTACCGATATCCACGCTGAAAATTCCATACTTGTACCAAAACTACAGTGTGGAATCAAGCTGTAAATCAAAAATCAAAAAAATATATATATTAGGAAGATCAAAAAAGTTCAAAAGCAAAATAAAATAATGGTGATAATAATAATGATAACATAAATATATGGCATCTACAGTAGTTTTACCATATAAGGATAGGACATCTGAGACCTTACGTAGGATTCTTAATAAAGAGGGAATTAGGTTGACATTCACACCTACAAACTCACTCAGATAGGACAAGTTCTGTAGACTAAAGGACCCAGTGGATCCAATTAAACAAAATAATATAACTTAAAAAATACCTTGGAATGACTGTGAGTTAAGTCAACTACATAGGTCGGCGGTAGTTAGATTATCAAAACAGGAGAATTTAGCTAGGGTTAGAGTGATTAATCCCACGAAGATAAGTAATTTGGATAAAAGCTCAGCAACCACACTGCATGCCTTAAAGACACAACCACACAGTAGAGTGGGAGAGAATACAAATTCTAGAAAATAATATAGGTAGATGGAGACAGAGGTTGATTACTGAATCTTTGTTCATAGAATATGCATCCATTACGAGCAACTGGATGCAATGACGCATCATTCACACCAGGAATATGTAAAATATTACTACCATTCAAATCAAGGGATGAGAAGTACTGGAATCTAATAGACGACTCTGGGAAGTTGTCCGAGTAACTTGATATGATGAATGTGAGCAGTGATAAATTCTGCTCGAAACGTGGTCATCAGTAAATATTACTTTATAACACTATGAAACTCTATCAAAATAAATTTTATCCACAACAGAATTATAATCTACCACAGTGAACAAATTCTAGGCTTACATCAATGATCTGTAATAGCATTGATAACTCTGACGATTATTCAAAATATTTAAAAAAGCTCTGATCCACAAGTTTCCAATAAACATGAGAAAAGGCAGTATCCACAATGACAGCTAATCCGAATACATAAGTTAACTGTTCTTGATTTGCGTTCTTGGCTCACCCAAATGTACTCCTGAACATTCTGTAAATACAATTCAACAGAATTTCGTTTGCTTCTCGAAAGAGACAAAGAAGAAATATCATAAGATATTGGTTTCGGAGTCAAGTAATATACAACATTGTCACATAGTCAACTGTCAGTTACTAATCTCTTCATAAAGCCGGCTCCCTTGATTTGTTTGAATAACCAAAGAACGAACATATTTGGAGGATAATACGAGCTCGTTTCATTTCGTCGAATCTTCCGTCAACTGCCCACATCATAAAAAAATCAGTAATATATGTCACAAAATGCTGGCTAAACATACTTTGTACAATGACTTCTAGTGTTACACATAGAAAGTATAAGCAACATCATTTCAAAGACGATTTTGATAGACAATTATTTAGTGTTAAAAATAGTAGCAACTAGTCATTTATATATGATAATTAGACAAAACAGTAGAATTCAAATTTCTCTAGGAAACAAGGATGGATGAGAGACACAATACAAGATAGAAGAACACAGTTAATTTATACATATTTTGGAGGAGTAGGAGAAACAGTTCAGGAGGCAATGGGGTGAACAGTGAAGTAGAATTATAAAATAGATGAAATAATTTAATTTATTAGATTTGGAAGCGTATTAATGAGTTCAACTCAGTGAGTGGAAATCAAAGTCAAGATTAAGTGGAATGTTACGCAATAGAACAGAGCACAAAAGGACACTGACAAAACAAATATGGTTATGAGGGTAGTGAGCGATCAGTCACACTCTGTTTCCGTAAGAATAGTTTGGATCGAAGTCTTTTGATGGCAGTGGCTTCTGAGAACCGAAGTAACCATGCTTTTCTTTGTGAATGATTATTTTGAAAGCCTGACTAATTTCCACTTTGTGTCCCGTGTTGTTAAGTGAGTGTTTGGTGATTGCGATTTAGAACACTTTGCTGTCTTGAAAACGGAAACTTTTGAGGATATGCTCGGAGATTTTAGTAGACGCTCTCCTTTCAATCCTTTATATTCACTTGCTGGCACAAGTGGAGGTGAATCGATAGATGCAGTTGGAGTTGACATGAGTGAGATAGTTGCCTTCTTTTCACTGGGTTAACGAGCTTACTGTGGTGTAAAGTGGAATGAGTCTAGAGCCAGAAATGTTCTTTTCCATGCATCTTTAAATCTGCTTTCCGCTCTTATGGGTACTTCTTCGCCATTGTACGCTAGACCAATAAAAACTGGTTTCTTTTCAACTGTTTCGCGCTTTGGTCTATGTGGTTTTCCTTCCCGAGGGTGGTATCGTTTTTAGATAGGTTTCCTTTCGATGACTGCGAGTTCCTCTTAGATCTTATTTTCTGATTAAAGTGCCCTACCTTTGATGATGAGCGTTTTCACCAAGTTCCATTTGTAGCCAGTCGGGCAGGAACTGTGATAATTCAAGTATTAGCCAGTCCAGGTTTCTTTCCTGTATATGGATTCTTCAATTGTCCCATCATTTCTTCTTTTTCTGTTGACATCCAGGAAGTGTAAGTGATTATCACATTCACGGTCCATTGTAAATGTTATGTGAGGGTGAGCTGCACTAAGGTTTACGAACATCTTGGATGCGTGATCCATACTGATCCGAGCATATCCTGAAAAGTCTCTGTTTTCAAGACAGCAAAGTGTTCTAAATCGCAATCACCAAACACTCACTTAACAACACGGGAAACAAAGTGGAAATTAGTCAGGCTTTCAAAATAATCATTCACAAAGAAAAGCATGGTTACTTCGGTTCTCAGAAGCCACTGCCATCAAAAGACTTCGATCCAAACTATTCTTACGGAAACAGAGTGTGACTGATCGCTCACTACCCTCATAACCATATTTGTTTTGTCAGTGTCCTTTTGTGCTCTGTTCTATTGCGTAACATTCCACTTAATCTTGACTTTGATTTCCACTCACTGAGTTGAACTCATTAATACGCTTCCAAATCTAATAAATTAAATTATTTCATCTATTTTATAATTCTACTTCACTGTTCACCCCATTGCCTCCTGAACTGTTTCTCCTACTCCTCCAAAATATGTATAAATTAACTGTGTTCTTCTATCTTGTATTGTGTCTCTCATCCATCCTTGTTTCCTAGAGAAATTTGAATTCTACTGTTTTGTCTAATTATCATATATAAATGACTAGTTGCTACTATTTTTAACACTAAATAATTGTCTATCAAAATCGTCTTTGAAATGATGTTGCTTATACTTTCTATGTGTAACACTTGAAGTCATTGTACAAAGTATGTTTAGCCAGCATTTTGTGACATATATTACTGATTTTTTTATGATGTGGGCAGTTGACGGAAGATTCGACGAAATGAAACGAGCTCTTATTATTCGGTAAACATGTTCGTTCTTTCTTTCATCATACTGTTGCTTCACTTGAAGATCTTGGACAAAGAGTAAATATTATGTTATAAACTCCTCCGAAAATTCTGTACATTATATTAACACTGATCTGAATTAATGCGTTATTTTTATTATTGTGTAATTTGGGCTTTGTAAACTATAGACAATGGAGGGATTGTCACAGTTACAGAAGTGTTTTTACGTTATTGTCTTTATTCAATTATATATCAATGTAATAATCCTCATAGTAACATTAAGAACACAGTATTATTCACCGAACAGATTCTTTTCTGACGAACACCAACAATTCAAGGAATATCTTTCTCTGGTTATCGCAAACCAGTCCCAGTCTGGCAGTCTCACACTGTTTGACTGTCTCAAGCGGTTGATTGCAGAAAGGACATTTCTAATTGATCCTCATAAAACACAAAATAATTGCGCAATGAATATCCTTTTCGATAATTTCCTCTTGGTCTCACTAGACGTCATCTCTATCTTCACCAATGTCCCACTGACAGAAACTATATGTTTTCTGTGTAACCTCATCCAATGCAACAGCATAGATGACGGTATACCGATCCATTATCTAAAGGAGCTGTTACTACTTTGTACTTTCCACGTCTACTTCAGATTCAACGATGAAATCTACAGGCAAACAGATGGCGTAGCAATCGGCTCTCCACTGGTACCCCTCTTGGCCGACTATTTTATGGACAGCCTCGAAAATAACTTCTCGTCATTAACTACCACTGACCTCCATCTTCAGAAGAGATACACGGATGATACTTTCATCATTTGTGATGAGAACCTGGACCCTGAAAACTTACTTCGAAACTTCAACACTGCCCACCAAAACACTGACTTTACTCCTGAAGCTGAATCGGACGTAATGATCCACTTCGTCGACGTCCATCTGACAAGAAACGCTGACAACTCTCTAAAAAAATCCATTTACAAAAAGCCCACATGGAATGGACAAATAATCAACTTTCAAGGCTTCGTGTCCCTAAGCTGAAAGGGCTCTCTTCTCAAAGATTCAGAAGATATGCAGCAAGGAAGTGATTGACGAAGAAATGCGTGATCTCCAAAGAAACTTGAGGGAAAACTATTTTCCATCTAGGTTCATAAACAAGAATCTGAAATCAAAGAAGATTTCCGAACAAGTTCAATCCGTCCCGAAGAAGATACTTCTGCTTAATCTAGAATTCAAAGGTGACATTGATGAAGAAATCCTTCGTAAACGCCTCTCCAAATCTCTGAGGTAGACATGCCACGCCGCAAGCCTATGAATGAAGTTTTCCTGCAAGAAACTGTTCAGCCAGAACGCGAAAGACAAACTGTAGCACTTCAATGTGCATATACTAGTTTACTTGTTCGTGCCCATTTGAGTATATCGGCCGTACCATGCGCCAAATTGAAAAACCAGCTCGTGCACATAGTTTAGTGACAGAACATCTGGTCAATCCAGAACATTCAGCGCCATTTGAAAAGTCCTTCAAAATCACATATAAGATCCGATCAAACCTATCAAAGGGGGTAAAATTAACATCTCGGCATAGCCGAGGCACTAGCCATCCAAAAGCTTAAACCCACGCTTTCTATCCAAAAGAAATACGTCCAACCCCTGCCCCTGCCATGGCTATCATAAAAAGGTAATTATTTTATTAGTGCTCATCCCATTGCCTTTCTTATCTAAACTCCCTGTTTATTCATGTTATTTTTAAGTTTTTCTTGATCCGTATTTACACTACCATATTTTCATATTCGAACTTCCTGTCTATTTCGTCATTTTATTATTTCTACATCTTTAATCCCTGATTGCATAAACAATTATTCGTCATATTAGTTATGATCCCACTAGATTTCTTTACTGAAACATCCTGTCTGCTTTGTTATTTCTACATTTCTAACCACCAATTGCACAAGATGTTAATCTTCTTAGTAATTACGATACTACTTTGTTTGAGTTTTATCCATCCCGTCCCCCGTGTTCATTAATGGCATTTTAATTCCTAAACGCAATTTTAATAATTTGACCCTTGACCGGAAGTTATTCTGGAACTTTCCCTCCCATTTATTATAAGTACACGAATGTACAGCTATCTAGCTGACGGTGACTTCGTCGAGGAGAAAATTTTCTTCCCTGCAACTGTCTTTTTATTATTTCCTATGATCGAATGTGTATATACCGTGATTTGAAAATGAAATCGCTGAAGAAAGCCTCTTCACTCAGCTATTTGAAAACTGATCATATTTATTTAAAATTTAATTTAACTGTTAAGATGTTTGCATTATAAATCTGTCTTCACTAAACCTTCTTTCCAACTATATCAAATATTTTTTTATACGATTGCTACCGTCAGTATTACTATTGTGATTATTGTCTTCGAAGCTGTCATGTTATTATTCCCTTTGGCCTCAATAGCGCATCTCAAGTCTCCTATGGTTCTTTGTTAAACTAACTCCACAATTATCCACAAACCTGGAAAACATTAGACTTTTAAATCTTTTAATGATCCAAAGCAATCTGCTTACAAATGCAGTAGAAGCCCATAAGATGCTGGCTGTTGTTGTACTGCATCACAATATTTTTTTAAGTCTCCATTCACTTCTTTGCAAACGGGAATTAGTGTACCTCAAGGCAGTGTACTCTCTCCATTCCTTTTTTCTTTCTTCTTGCATGACCTTCCATATTCTTCCAAAGCTTATTTCATTAAATATGTCACTGATCTAACCATTTCTGTTTCAGCAATTACTGCCCTGGATTGTTCTTATATGAATAGATTCTAATCTGAATGGTCTCACCTCAATGGACTTAAAACAAATCCATCTAGATATCATATTGTTGATTTTTTTAATTTCAGATGGGAACAAGACTTACGTGGGCCGACTCAGTTGCACGATTCCTGTAATACTGATGGCACTGTGATAGGAAGTAAATCGAACATCTCTTATCTCAGCATCAGTCTCTCTTCAAATCTCTGTTGGTTGTCGTCGCGTATCCTGCTGACATTATTGTTAATAGGCACTTCAATTCTTGTAAGCAATCGGCTAAAGTTATGTTGCCTGATACTGAATATCTTCTTTATTCTCATTTTTCGCCTTGTGTATCTTCGGGTGAAACCAGAAGACACTTCATAAGAATTAATATCAGTAAAAAGTTTGAGCATTGTAGATTAGATCAAATAAAGTATAATTATATTTTAATAGTTTACACACAATGATAAGTTTTGTTATTGGTAATATTTCGAGCAAAATTACTGCCCGTGTTCACACCACTGTTGGAATTGTTTTATTCACACATTTATGATTTGTACTCATATATATAGTTCATTATTATTATTTTTTGTTCATTCATGTTTTGTGTGTGCATATGTGTGTTCAGAATTATACTCCACATTCATTCATGTGTTTGTATTTAGAATTATATTCCAAGTTGTTGATAGTTGTACTGAGTCACCCTTGTTACATGTATCCGGTGTGACTTTAATGAATATCGATTCTGTTATGAGTCTTTCTTTCCATTTGTTCATGTTTGTTTTTAGAATACACACATTGTCCCAATCGATATTGTGGTTTTTGTCCCATGCATGTGCAGCTATGAATGAATTTTTTTCAAGATTTTTGTAAGCTTGTGTCCCTGTTGGTTGACCTTTAGTTAGGCGTTTATGTTCATTCACTCTTATTTTGAGTGATCTGGACGTTTGCCCCACATATTTAGTTGGACAGTCAGCACAAGATATTTTATAAATCAAATTGTTTTTATCCATCATTTTTATGGGATCTTTCAGTTGATTTATTTTATTTTTGATTAGATTTGTCGGTTTAAAGGTTGTTCGAATGCCGATATTTTTGAGGTTTCTTTGTATTGCCTCTGATGTACCATTTTTATATGGTATTGCGACTGTTTTTTTCCATTCTTCCTTCTTGTTATTCTCCGGTTTTAGCCTCTTTTTTCTCTTTTTTATATTATCTTTTATAAATTCTCTAGGGTAGTTGTTTTCGAGTAGCATTTTGAATAGGACTTTTATTTCTTTACGCTGGTCCTCTGGTGCTGTTGTAAGTCTACGTATTCTATCTGCAAGACCTTGTATTAATCCTCGTTTTACCGAGAGTGGATGAGCTGAGTAATAATCAAGGAATCTTCCAGAATGTGTGGCTTTTCTATATATCGTTGTTTTTATGCTACCATCTGTCATTCTTTGTAGTTTGCAATCTAACATGGGCAGTTCTCCAATTTCATTCTCTAATTCCATAGTAAATTTTATTGAGTCGACGTGTCTGTTTATGTGTGATAAAAGTTTCTCAGTATCGTTTTTTTCACTATTACTAGTGTGTCGTCTACATATCTCCACCAACATTTTAGTGATGATCTGAATGGTTTAAGGGCATTCTCCTCCCAATAATCCATGAATATGTCAGCTATAATTGGTGAGATAGGCGATCCCATGGCTACTCCCTCATTTTGTTGGTATATTTTTCCTTCGAATGTGAAATATGTTGTTGTCAGACAGAATTCTACCCCTTTTATTATTTCTTCTACGGATAACTGTGTTCTGTCTTTCAGGCCATTATCTTCATTTAGTTTCTCTTTCAGTGCAATCATGGCCATTTGAATGGGTATTTTCGTATAAAGACTGTTTACATCAAAGCTAACTAGTATTTCTTCCTCCTCTATTTTAGTGGTTTTTATTCGCCTCACTAATTCAAATGAATCTACTATTCTAGCTTTTGAGTTGTCTCTTGTCGGTCTTAGTATTGTCGAGAGAAATCTGGATAGCATATACGTTGGTGTGTTTCTGAAGTCTACAATCGGTCTTATTGGATATCCCTCTTTATGCAATTTTATCTTACCATATATCCTAGGTACATTACAGGATTTTGGCATAATTTCAAACCATTTTGACTTACCAATTACTTCTTTCATTTGTCTAACTACCTTTGCTGTTTCTTTCATTGTTTTGTTGATGATCGTTTCAGCTGATTTAGTCATTATGGTATAGGGTCCAGATTGTAGATGTTCATTCATCTTTTGATTATATGTTGTTTTGTTAAGTAATACTGTTGTGTTTCCTTTGTCTGCTTGAGTAATGACAATGGATTTGTCTGCTTTTATGTCTTGAAGTGCTTTTAGTTCCTCTTTCGTTATATTTGGTTTTTCTGCTTTTTGCTTTTTTAAGGTAAGTGCACATTGTGCTCGTACCAGTTCAGCTTTTTGCTTGTCATATCCTTCGAGTGCTGTTTCAATTACAGGTATGATGTCTTCAGGTTTTAATCTTTTGTTGCTGATATTGAAGTTCATCCCTTTCATCAGTACACTTTCCTCTGCTTCTGTTAACTTTCTGTCTGACAAGTTTACAATCCAATTGGCTTTAGTTACTTGTCTGTCTATTAAAATATAATTATACTTCATAAGAATTTACGCTCGTACAGCTACTAAATATAAAAATCCTACGATATACCCATATTTAGTACGGTTTTTGTGTGAAGAGAGACTCAGATATCAGAAAAGAACTTATGAACTTTTTAAATCAGTAAATGAACTACAAAGTATTAGCAAAGATTATTAAGTTGCATTATCTATGATACAACCTACTTATACTTCATTATGTTTTAATCAACACACTGTTTATAGTAGTCGTTTCATTATTAATATTATCATTATTACTATTTTAAATTTTGTGTATGTACACATTTATAAAAGGAGCTAAACTGTTGTAATATGTATTAAATACGCTGAAAATTCCATTCTGTATAATTGTTATTGTTTGGAGTAAAGGGATTATTATTATTACTATTATCTTCGATGGCGTCAAATTCAAAAGAGAAGAGAATTGCGGGGAAAAAAATCTCCATTTTTAGACATCTTAGTCAAACTTAAGTATACAGAAAATCAAATCACAGAGATTAAACACTCAATTACTACAACAATCCTATAGCACCTAAAAATAGTTATATACAAACATTACTCAAGAGGGCCAGGGGCGCATTGTATTGCAAAACTAATGCTTTGAGAAGAATAGAAGACAGCTATCTTATGGTTGTCTTCCGAAAAATGGATATCCACAAAACTGCATCAAAATACATATACCTTCAAACAAGACAACCAAATCAAAAGTCTTCAATGAAAACTCAAAGAAAATTGTCCAACTACGTACTTCAAGATCAGCCCAAGACTGTTCAAACCTTTTAGAATTGATGTAACTCGCAAACTAACCAAATCACTTCAATCGGCTCTGTGTCAACTAAAAGACACAATAGTAAAAGAAGACGAAACTAACATGACTTACAAGATAAATTGCAATGACTTTGAAAAACATTATATTGGTCAAAGTGGACGCCCGCTTATTCTTCGAATCTATGAAAATAAACTAACTGTCAAAAGAAACGATATCCATTTACTCATAACAGTGCATATAGACAACCATGGAAACCGTAACAGTTAGGACCACATAGAAATCCTAGACAGATAGAATAACAAGAATGTCAGAAAATTTCTGGAAGCCTGGTATTCAGGTGAATCTGGAGTCAATAGACAGGTTGACTGATTGGTTTCAACATAGAACTTTGCACTGATGGGCAGCACCAGTTCCAGTTGCTACACTTCATTCCATGTAGCACACAAAGGAAGAGAAGACAGTGAGGGCAGATGCGAAACAGAGATAATAAACAGAAGTTTGTGTGAGGGAAAAAGAGTAGTAATATGGAAAAACAGTACAATGTTATTGGACATCATGAATTATAAAGTGTAAATGCATCTGAGCTAACCATCACTGAGAACGATTTTGAACTAGCCATATCACCAATTGTTTCAAGCCGTCATGGGTTCTCACCATCCTGAAGACTCTAACCAGACACCCAATCAGTCTACAACTGCCTACGTGACCGGCTGGCTGGCTTAAAATAACTGATGTGGATTTCACTGACTAGTGATGCGTTATTTCCGTGTGATCACCACTAGCTAACTCTTCTCCAACCTGATCCATCCTATATCAGTCAGCTAACACTGCCTGTTATCAAGGAAGGCGATGGCTACACTACCATGCGTAACAAATGTCCTAACCATCTCGATCAGTGTAGCTTTACAACCTCGTCGACTGACTTTACTCTTCTTACCTGACACTCAACGCCTAACCTCAATACTACTCACCCTATTATACCACCCTTGACATAGATAGTATTTACCCATCCATAAAAAGGAAACCATATGAACAAAAGGTCAGCTTTCAAGTGAAGAAAACAGTCAATACCAATACATTCGGACTAGACTGTGAGAATATACTCGAAAACAACCAACAGCGTTCAAAGTTACCAGAACCAATGACTCATAAACTCGTTAAGAATTATAAAAGCTCACTTCATATTGAAGTATGTGTTGAGGATATTGTCTAGTAAGAGAATGAAGGCTTCAGAAGTAGACTATCCAACTCAGAGAACAACACTAAAATCACCCACCTGAGCTACAAATATTCCCCCAGAAGAATCATATATATAGTGACAATAGACTGTATGCCATCACACGAATGAAACACAAATAGGAAATGTCGAGTTATGCGTGGGTCTAAAGGTGACACTGAGGAGATCATATGAAAAGAAAATGGAAACTTACAAGAAACCGTGAAGCCAGGTAAAGCAGACTGCTGAAAATCAAATGAAATGTAGATATGTATACACAGAGAAAAAAATAAGAATCCTTGATTATAAAACAAAAAAAACTGACTTTACTCCACACTCCATTTTTCACTAGATTAATTAATTTTTGAATAATACCATTTCTTTTTTAATTATTTGTACACTAAATAAGGTAACGAAATACCTTTTTTCGTATGAGATATTGTTTATCACTCAAAAGTACAGGAATCTGATTGGCTATTAAAACAACCAATCAGAAGTATACGTGTGGCTTTCAATGATTGGTGGAAAATTTTTGTTTATGAAAACTGAATATGTTACATAGTATGTATTAGAAACAGGACATTTTAAAGACAAATAAACAAAAGGAATAATATTTACACATCTTCACTCAAATTGGCACTTAGGTGAAAACTAAAAAAACAGCAACAAATAAACAACAAAATAATGATATGATAGTGAATTAATTTATATCATGAGATTAGTGGCAATTCGGATTAATTTCAATTGTTAGATTCCGCGAACGTAAACCAAAGTAAGGTGTTGGCATATTATTCCAATGGGCAAGAAAACACACTCAAAAATCTAATGCGTGAAATGAAATGTTACAACATTTCAGAATTCAAATCAACAGCTTACAGATTACCAATTCATTGGTGACCTGTCGACTGAGCTAAATGATTCAACTGTCTTAATTTCACTAGAATCACTGATGATTTTTCCCAAACTGTCATGTAACCACGCATTGCACATATTTGTCTACAGATTTGATCACGAGATGATATCAGTTAGAGAATCCTTGGAAATCACAAGGAAGTACTGAAGTACAGCTACCTTCTTCTAGTTTGTGACTCTACAGAACCACGTACCTGCCGGGTCTCGAAACCAGGAACTTCCAGCTACAAGGTGAGCTTGTGGACCATCCATCCACTGATACACGGTACAGTGACCCATGAATCCACACATCTGCCAATTTGCGACATATACATAGCTCTAATAGCAGCCGGAGAGTACCTGTCATCTTACCTGACTTGCTGAGTCCCGCTGGTCACGACTTTCTCCTAGAACTTCCACGTAACCTCCAGTACAGTGCCAGTTGTTAGTGAGCATCACAATATTTCTGAATTGCAAGTTTGCACGGATCGGTCGAAAGCTAACATCAGCTAGGGAACCATTGGAAAACCAAACTAGGAAGAAACATCCGTCTAGTATTGCCTTCTAGTTTTCCACTGGTTCTCTAACTGATGTCCGTTCGTTGTCAAACTTGTAACTGATCAGATCCCTGTAAACCAACACTTGGTCATTGAAGATAACATTTCAGCTTGAAATTAACTCACAAATGTTCTTCCGAAAATTAATGGATAAGACGTTGAAGCAACCAGTAACATTACACACTACAACTAGTGTATTTAACCCTAACTGACTTCAGCGATTCAGGGACTGACCTCTTAACATCAGGGAATAATCTCTTTGACTCAGAATACGCAGATGATATAGTCCTCCCACCTGGGTGAAGACGCTAACAAAATGCAGAGTCTTCTCAACACCTCGAGGAGCAGCAATCGTCGATTGTTTGGCATGCGACTCACTACTGTCATCAAATGTAAGATGATGAGGTAACAGGACTGGACTATATCGACTACGCCTAGCTTAGAGATAGGGAGTGAAGCGGTGGAGCGCGTTGACGACTTCACTTATTTGGGAAGTTTCATCAATCAACACTAGAGGGTTGATGGCTGACAAAATCTCAGCACGGATACAGAAGGCTCTTATGGCATTTGCCAACTTACACCATCTCTGGATTAGTAGACGTGATACCCGGCTGTTGACAAAAGGATGTGTGTACTGCACAACCCAGCAGTTTGCTCGGTCCTTCTTTATATCTGGCTGTGAATGATGCATGGCCTCTGAAAGTGGAAGACATGAAAGTGCCGGCTAGCTATCTTTGATCATAGGTCTCTCCGTTCTATCTCTTGTGTTAGTTGGTATAATAGGGTGAGAGATATTGAGGTTTGGAGTCGTTTGAGTGTTGGGTAATTAGAGGAAATCAGCCGGAGAGTTTGTAAAGCTATACCGATTGAAATGGTCAAGGTATATGTTACACATGATGAGCCACCGATCCCTTTCCTAGATGATCCATGTTAGCTGACTGACATAGGATCAGGGTGGAAAGTAACTAGTGGTGTTCAAACCAAAAACATGGTTTCATCAGTCAATGTGATTCACAACAGTTATTTTAAGCCAGCTAGCTAGCCAGTCACCGAGACAGTTGTAGACTGGCTGGCTGTCTGGTTGGGGTCCTCAGGATGGTAAGAACCAGTGATGGCTGGAGACAGTTGATGACATGGCCTAAAATCTTTCTCAGTGGCTGGCGCAGATGCATTCATTTTTTCTTATTTTTCATAGCCAATAAAATGCTATTGTTCTTCCATATGACTATTCTTTTCGCCTAACTCACATTTTGTTCATTATCTCTGTTTTGAATCTGTCTTTACTCTCTTTTGTTGCTTTGTGTGTTGCATGGAATGGAATGTGACAACTTGAACTACTGCACATCAGTGCAAAGTTCTACGTTGCCAATCAGTCAGACAGACTATTGATTGATAAAAGGAGTAGTGGAATAATTAAAAATTTAAGTCCACAGTATTCCACTCTATCCTCATTCAATTCACCAATTACTTGTTTTCCTGACTCCTTTGCCTTCCAAGTGAAACATAGGGCTGATTTAAAGCCCGAATTTTTTAAGTTTCATTAGC